CTCTCCGGTCTTAGGGCTTTTAAGACCATAACTTTTTATATAAAAGAAAATATAGGATTTTATGGGAACACACTCTTTTCAAATTCAAACAAAGGAAAACAAAGAACATGCATGCAATTATACATGGTTTTGGAACGAGACTCACAAACTACTTTTTATAGAAAATATTGGATTTTCTGGAGTTTTACGACTTATTACAAACAAAGATATTACAAAGTTTTTCTTACATATATGCTTATGAACTCACCAACATTCTATGTTGAAGCTTTTCAAAACGACTTGTATTCTCAGAGACTCGGTGAACAGGTACTCGATCCTTGGATCCGGATAATTTAGTACCTTTTTGAGACATCATACTTTATGTTATTTTTGTGTAATCGATAAACAAGTACAGTACGTAAACAATGAATGTTGGTATCTTATGATGTATGATGTTTGGTTGCTATGTATCATTTATATTCAATTGTTATGATGTTACAAGATGAAGTCACCCGCCCCCGGACGTTTCCGCCGTTCCGGTTCGAGGGTGTAACACAACGAGGGGTGTGGATTCTATTTGGGTCATTTTGGACAGATTGACGAAGAGTGCCCACTTTATTCCGATCCCCGAGAGCATATCTGCTGAGAAATTAGCAGATATTTATGTGCGAGAGGTGGTGGTCAGACATGAGGTGCCAGTGTCGGTGGTCTCTAACCGGGATGTTCGATTTACATCCAGATTTTAGAGGAAGTTCCACGAGCAACTGGGCACACAGTTACACTTCAACACTGCATACCACCCCCAGACAGACGGTCAGAGTGTGCGGACGATCCAGACGCTTGAGGATATGCTGCGGGCATGCATTTTTGGATTTCGGAGGGAGTTGGGATACATACATCCCACTAGCAGAGTTTTCATATAACAATAGTTATCATGCTAGTATCGACCGACCCCCGTTTGAGATGTTGTATGGTCGGAGGTGTAGGACGCAAGTTTGTTAGGGTGAAGTTGGGCACCGAGTCATGGGAAGCACCGAGGTGGTGCTTAAGACTACCGAGTTGATCCATCAAGTGCGCGACAGGCTGCGGGTCAGGCAGAGCCATCAGAAGAGCTATGCTGACCGGCATCGCTCGGATCTTGAGTTCTAGGTGGGAGACTTCGTCTTGCTGAAAGTATCACCATGGAAGGGTGTCATTCGGTTCCGGAAGAGGGGCAAGTTAGGGCCCCGATATATTGGTTCGTTCAGGATTATTGCCAGAATGGGCAAGGTGGCTTACCGTTTGGATCTGCCGGACGAGCTTAGCCATATTCACAACACCTTCCATGTGTCTTAGCTCCGAAAGTGTGTCACTGACGAGGTTGCGGTTATTTATTTAGATGACATTTAGGTAGACGAGAGCCTAAACTATATTGAAAGGCCCGTTGCGGTCTTGGATATGAAAAATAAGGTTCTTCATAACAAAGAGGTGAAGCTAGTGAAGGTGCAATTGCGCCCATAGACTTCGAGGACGAAGTCTAGTTCCAGTAGGGAAGATTTGAAACGCTTGTTTCAGGTATCATTTATTTCATAAGTTTTAAGGTTTTAGACTGGAACTCGACGAGTTGGGGAGCTCCAACTCGTCGTGTAAGGATCATAATGGATGCGGGATTAAGGGTCTACTCGACGAGTTGGAAGGCCCAACTCGACGAGTAGATGCTGGAAAGGAAAACCCTAATTTTCAGGGCTTGCACCCTATTTAAAGGCCTTATGCCTCATTAGTAGCCTCCCTTATTGCTCCCATCGTCCAGAGGAACCCAAGTTCACCCACTTCCACTCATTATGTGTGTGTGAGCTTAGAGAGTGACTTTTGGAGCTCTTTTGAAAGGAACTAGAAGGTCGAAGTGGATAGATTGAGTAGAAGGCAGTAGATCCGGGATTTCCTCCAGTGTTGCCGCTACATTGAGGTATAAAGTCAAAACCTCGGCCTTTTATTGCTTAGATCTTCTTCTATGAAAGTTTATGGCCATTATTAGCCTAGTTTGGGACTATTCTTGGATTTCAGCATGATATACAGATTTGGCTTCAGATCTGGATATCTCAGGCTCTTTGTGGACTTAAAGTTGCCAACTTTATCAAGTCTTGGCCCTCCTTCATGCTCTAAGACCCTTAATAAGCTTTTTTGAGTGTTTTTAGCCATTTGATGCTTTGCATGGATGTAAAGTTAGCAACTTTACGTAGTATCTCAACCCTAGGGGACTGGATCTGTAGTTTGGGGCTTTAGATTCGACTGAAAATGTCTAAATATGTTAAGACTAGGAAAAATCGATGAGTTGCGCTGGCAACTCGACGATTTGGATCGGGTTTCCCAGCCTTCTGGATACTGAGTGAACTCGACGAGTTGATGAGACAACTCGGCGAGTTGGCTAGGGCTTATCCTGGTTTTCTGAACACTGAAGGAACTCGACGAGTTGCTAGATGCACTCAACGAGTTGGGGTCAACATGGACTGTTGACCTTGACTGTTGACCATGTTTGACCAAGTTTGACTTTAAGGGTATTTTGGTATTTCGGGATTTTGACAAATAAGTCACTTGGCGATTGTAGGATGTTGAGTTGGAGTTGTGAACTGGGATTGATCTTATCGGTTCAGCATTTCTTGAGAGGCGAGTCTCCTCACCATACCAATGGGTCGAAGGCACAAAGGTCGGCCCATTATATGATATGTGAATTGTTAGTTGATTATGTGATATGTCGGTATGACAATTGTATGGAAGACCCCGGGGGGTTCCCGTAGCAGTAGATTAAGACCATGAGGGGGTTCCCATGACATTTGGTATAAGCCCTTGGAGGGTTTCCAAGGCATTCTAGTATGTTTGCATGTTTAGCTCGTATGATATTTCTTTTGTTAGTGAAGACCATGTGCGGGTTCCCATGGCAGGCAGTCAAGACCACGTTGGGGTTTCAGTGGCAGTTAGTAAAAACCATGTGGGGGTTCCCATGGCAGTTAGTGAAGACCATGTGGGGGTTCCCATGGCAGGTAGTTAAGACCACGTGGGGGTTCCAGTGGCTCTCGGTATAAGACCTTGGAGGGTTTCCATGGCATCCTTATATGTTTGTATACATGGCTTATGTGGTATGTGTAGCTTATAGAGCTAATATGGATTATGTGATTATGTGGATTGTGTGGGGTATGATCTGGGGAACTCACTAAGCATTAGCTTACAGTTTGTTGGTTGTTTCAGGTACTTCAGAGCCTAAGGGCAAGTGCCCGGCTTGATGGCGCGGCATGCACTCTCCGACGATTTTATTTGGGGACACTCTAATATTATGAATAAAATGTTTGATACTGTGGATTTTGAAAACAATTGTGATTGGTATTTTATGTTTATTGGAAACAATTTTGTTAATATAAAATGAAATTTTTTATTGGAAATTTGGTTTTTTACATTTTCTGCATATTTGTGCTCATAATGTTAAGAATCGTGTTATAATATGTCGGTTTCGTCGCTCGGGAGAAACGATTAGTCGGAATTTTATTCGAGTTTGTAATGCAATCATACGATTGCATACTCATTTGCTTAAGAAACCTGAACCTGTTCCCGATAACTCTGCTGATCAAAGATGGAAGTGGTTTAAGAATTGTTTAGGAGCTTTAGATGGAACATATATATAAGTGTTTAGTTCCAGCCGAAGATCAGTATAGATATAGACCAAGAAAGAATGACATTGCAACAAACATTCTAGGGGTTTGTTCCCAAGATATGCAGTTTATATATGTGTTAACTAGATGAGAGGGGTCGGCTATGGATGGTAGAGTTCTTGGTGATGCTCTTCTTAGACCACATGGACTTAAAGTTCCAAGGCTGGGTATGTTCTTTTTTTTAAGTATACATCTTATTTATAAATTTTTATTAATAAGTTATTAACTATAGTTCTTATCTATAGGTTATTATTTGGTTGATGCCGGATACACAAATGGAGTGGGTTTTCTAGCGCCTTATAGAGGACAGAGGTACCACTTAAATGAATGGCGTCATGGATACCAACCAACTACATCAAAGGAATTCTTTAACATGAAATTGAACGATGTTTTGGCCTTTTGAAGGGAAGATGGAAAATATTAAAGGATAATTCGTATTATCCAATTGAAACAAAAAATAAAATCATAGTGACGTGTTGTCTTCTACATAACTTCATAAGGCAAGAAATGAGAGTAGATCCGTTGGACAAGTGTGATCAGGATGAGGGAATTGAAGATCTTCGACATGAAGATGTGGATACTATTAATTCTATCGGGACATCAAATGAATGGACCATATTTACAGATAATTTAGCCCATAATATGTTTACATCTAGGGGGCAACCAATTAAATTGTTGTATTATTTGCTTATCGTTATGTTGGACAAATTGTTGTATTTGTTGGTTGTTGTTGTATTGGACAATTTGTTATTTTTCTTATCTATTTATAAAAAAAATGTTCTTTTGCTTATCTATTGTTGTTCGTTATGTTTATAGGTATGACAAGCCAAACTAGAAACTATAGGCCATGGACAAGTAATGAAGAAACGAAGCTAGTTGAGGCGTTGGTGAATATGACAAATGTTGGAGGGTTTAAAGTCAATAATGGTTTCAAATCCGGATATTTGCAACACCTTGAGCAAGCATTGAAACAATCACTTCCAAACTCAGGTCTTTTAGGTAAGCCACATATTGAATCTAAGATAAAAACCATGAAAAAATATTGGCAATGTGTCTATGATATGGTAAATGGTTCAAACACAAGCGGTTTTGGTTATGACCCCGAAAAGTATTGTGTTACTACTGAGGATCCGGTCTAGGAGGCGTACCTACAGGTACATTTTAATAATTAAGAGACTACATGGAAATATTTTTCTTTTTGTTTTTTATATGAATTATAATGTTGGTAAATAGGTACATAAAGAAGCGACTAGATGGAAACACAAAACATTTCTTTATTATGAAGATATTTGCATTGTTTTTGGAAAAGACCAAGCTCAAGGAAATAGAGCTATAGATTTCATGGAGATGGAACAAGAGGTGAACTTAGAAGAAGAAACACAAGATTCAGATGATGATTTTCTAGATTCAGAGGAAGTTAGTCGTACTACAGCCGTGCAACATGATGAAACTTCACCTAGTGTTCATTCCAATAAGAGGAAAAATCAAAGCAACGAGGGGTTTAACAAGGCGGTTGGCTTAATTACAGAAAGTCTTCAAGAAATATCAAAGGACTTGAGTGAAGGTATTAAATTTGACATGAAGATTAACGAGCTAAGGGAGAAGATCCCTCCAAAGATTTTAAAGATGAATTCAATAAGTCAACTTGAAAAGTTCAAAGTTTTGACCAAGATAAGAAGTGACCCCATTAATGTTCAAATTTTTTGGGAAATTGAAGAAGGTGATAGAGAAGCTTGGGTAAAATACACTTTGGAAGGGTAGTATTATCAATTGAGATGTGCATTGGATGTTGATCGGTATTTTGCATATGAAAGTTTTTGGTGCCTTCGATTTGGATGTAACGATATATTTTACGTTAACTTTTTTGTTTTGTAATAATATTATGATATATATAGTGAAGAAGGTGATAGCTTTTAAGTTATGTTTTTTTGGTAACATTATTGGGACGTGTATTTAAAGTATTTTAAGTTATGAAGTCATTTGCATGATTTTCGCATTATATTGACACGGACACTCAATCAGTTAAATTAAATTTTACTATTTTTATAATTTATGTAATGCATCTTTACATATAAATTAAAAAGAAAGTAAAATTAAGCAAAATAGACAAAAAGGACAATTCTGTCATTTTATATGGATTCCAATTTCAATTTCTGCGAACCAAACAAAATCTGGAATTAATTCCAATTCCATTTCCTGCCAACCAAACAGGATATGGAATTAGATTCAAATTCCTGACAGATTCATTTTCCAATTCCAAATGCAATTCCTTCAGCAACATTCTGTGAACCAAACAGACCCTTGGTTTTTGCCTTCTTTTATTTTACTCCATACGGATGAGTACACACATAAATCATCTGTCCACGTGTTTCATCATTTGTCCTCCACCTTTTCTCCACCTTCTCTCTCGCCACTTATTTTCTTCTATTTTTTGATTTCTCTGTTAGCTTGCCTTGCTTCCTATCGTTTTCAGGTTTTATATATTTCGATTAAGGAAGACACTATTTCCTCTCTCCATTCCTATCAACAAGGCCTAAAACGACCCTAGCGCTAACCTTACCTTCCGGTTCATCTCCATCTTCTCCAGATCCTCGATTAGGGCTTCTCTCCACCTTGATCCTTTGTTGCTTGTGACTGTTGGGAGACGTTTTTGTTTTCCTGAGCTGCTCTCGGATCTGCTTTGGAAGATGACTCTCACAACACTAAAGCAGCTTGCTTCCTATCTTTTTCCGACGATTTCAAAAGTTAGATTAGGTCAGATTCTCTCATATCATGAGTTTGATATCAAAAGTTAGCAAATCCTATGTAAGTTCATTATTTGCAATGTATAGTGATTTCGATTTATGAGCAAATCTAGGTTCACTTTCAATTTATGTAGTTTTGATTTTTTGTTTGTCTAATTTCGATTTGCTGTTTATCTATTTCTCCCACGTGATGTCGATTTGTAGTGTCTGCTACTGCTACTGTTGGTTTCAATTTCATCACACATCTTTTCTTTAAATTTTTAGCAAAGCTAACTTACCAGTATTGTAGTAGTATTAATAGGGTTTATAAACCACTAAACCCAATCTATGTTCTAATTTCTTAACCTTTTAATGCAATAGCACACTGAATGGATGTTGTAGGATTCCATATGTTCACTATAAGGGTAAGAAAGGTAACTTTTATATTTTGGTAAGTTTTAACTTTTTTACCCCTTGATATAGCAAGTTGCTTATTTTAGGCATGAAATGAAAAAAAATTGAATCTTTTTCAGGTGATGAACATGTTTGGACCAAGTCTTTGGGATGTTTGGAATTCTTTAGGCCAATCGTAAGACTCTCCCTGTGATTTTATACAAACACACCCTTTTAGCAAATTAAATGTTTTTTCAAATCATTAATCATTTTCTTTTTGTAGGATGTCACCAAGTATGACGGCTTGCATTGTTGTTGAGGCAATATCAAATCTTGAAAAGCTTCATGCAAAGGGGTGAGATAATTTATATACTTTTTTAACCTAATTCTCTCTCTCTCTCTCTCTCTCTCTCTCTCTCTCTCTCTCTCTCTCCTCCTCTCTCTCTCTCTCCTCGCTCCTCTCTCTCTCTCTCTCTCTCTCTCTCTCTCTCTCTCTCTCTCTCTCTCTCTCTCTCTCTCTCTCTCTCTCTATTTTCTTAAAGATTTGTTTCATGGAGACGTGAAACCTGAAAACTTTCTGCTTGTTCAACATGGATTAGTTTATCAAAAGAAGCTATATTTTATCGATCTTGGCTTGGGTATGCTTTCTATACTGACAAAATAAGTCCCATAATTATATTCATTTATGTTTCAACATATTTATATTGCTTCCTAATATTGAATTAAACTCACATCATTAATCCATAAAATCTTATTGCTTCAACGTAATCATCTAATCAACATGTCGAATATGATCAATGCCTAGATATTTTCAGTTTTTTTATTTAAATATAATAATATATCTTACTTCAGTTTTCCATACATAATTTGTATCTATATTTTATAACAGGGGTACAATAAGATACGCGAGTGCACATGCACATTTAGATTATACATGTAGTAGAAGAGATGACCTAGAGCCACTCGCATACACAATTAGGGAACGTGAATTCATGTTTTATCGAGACCCTACTGATGATATGGTTTTACAAGAATATGAACTTGATCTTTATATGGAATTTGATTGGTGATATAAATTTGGCTGATTATTTGCTATTTTTATAGTTGGAACTACAATATTTTCATGACCGTGTGGGAATTTGCACCGGTATTGGGTTGACTACAAACTCGACTCCTAACTTTTCTAATGTGATTGGAAACAATGTTATTGCTATTGTAACTGCTATGAGTACCACTGAGTTGTCGATCTTTTTAAATTATAAGTTATTGTTTTTTGTGTGGTTTATCTATGCATTACATATGACATTCGCTTTAATGAACTGATAATCTTATGAATATTGAAACATATTCGTTCGAGTTGACCCACCAACACACTTACATACTTTTTTTTTCTTATGAGGGTAAATGCAAGAAACAAGAAGTTATTTTGACTTATTTGTTTGATATATTATCCTATTTTCATTTCATTCTATTAAAACATTGTACTTTCATTTTTTCTCATTAAGGTATTCGAGTTTGAAAATCTATCAAATTATACCATAGCATATTCATTTTTTTCCCTATTTTTGCCTAATAGAGCATTGCTCTGTTAATGAAGAAGAAGAAAAAGATCAGCAAAATAATGGTAATGAAAAGCTCATAAAAGGTTGCCGATAAAAGAGACAACTGCTAAGTCAAAAAATGCATCTAAAGGAAGACAACTCTCACAACACCGTCTCCACAACACCTGAATCACAAAATTCTAACAAAACATCATTGAAGACGCAAAAGTCAAAGACCTTTCTATGGAAGATAACATTTCCTTCATGCTTGCATCAATCCACAAAAGTATTACGTTACATTTACGTTCTACCTATTTCTTTGTCCACTAAAACTATGTTTAGCTTTTAATGAATGTAATGACCTTCACATCAATACACAAATGAATAAAATATTTGTATTAACATCCCTTTGCAAACACTCGATGGCTTCCAACCCCTACAAGCAGGAGAATCTTCACTAGCTATTATTATTTGTACTAGATAATTATTGATTATTTTTTTTTCCAATCTTATCTTTATATATGATATATGGATGAAATTCATATAGACATTTGTTTTTGGAACGAATACTTATGTCTTTCCGAGTATAACCGAATAACTCGAACCGATACTCACTGCGACTCCATACTTTTGCAAGGATATGAAAGACGACTCACCGTTAGGCGAGATATGCTAAGACATGAAATATAACCGAATAATCAAACCCGAAAATTGAATAAAAAATAAGATAAATATTACATCTTAAAAATTATAAAGAAAAAACAATATGTTAATATTATTATAATATAAATAATATAAACACTTGTTATTCGAGACATAAAATTTATTGTTTTAGTAGAAAGTAAAAATTATAAAGATTAAATTTATTAAACAGCTAACAAACAAAACAAAAAAAGTATATTACAATAATGAAATTTTCATATGAAATTTTAAATTATATATTTTATTGTTATTATTAAAAATTTCAAATAATAATAATATATAATAAATACAAATAATATAACAATAGAAAATCATATAAATCAAATAAAATTGTAAGAAAATAAGAATAAAAAAATACAATTAAAAAAAAACTGTAAATTGAGTGGGTACTAATAATTAGAAGGGTGTACCCTTTTCTATTATCGGTCAATTCTCATGACTTAATTTTACAGTCATTTGGTATATGGTTTTAACAACCAATGATTCAAAATTTTATATCATTCAGAAAGACATAACATCTCTTTGTTCAGGCCAAACTTTCAAGTTTATGTCATGTGATGTGAGTTATATTAAGGTTATTATAGTTCTCATCGGTATGGTCCTCTATCATGTTATATGAAAAAGGTATGAAAAAGGTTAATGATACAAACTTTTGTCATTTAGAATAACATTAATAACATTAATTCGAGACCATAGGTCAATTTCTTTATTATTTATTAATAAAACTTATTTGTCAAGAAATATTACTAGTAAAGTATGTGTTTAAATGTTATAATCCAAAAAACGAACGTTATTCAAGGACCAAAGCAATGGACATGTGTGCAGAAATCCAGGCATGAAAAGATCAATTTTGCATTAACTCTCAACATTTAATGCTTTCACCTACACACCCTCTCTCTTTTGAACTACACACTGCTTTACCACCTCCAAACATTCATTACCACCACCATCGCCACCCACGAAACCAAGATTCAACAACCGGAACCACCGGTTATTTGGGTTTCCGGTAAGCTTTCGACTCTCTTCCTATCATATCAATCCGATACCCTTTTTAGTTATTATTTCTGATTAAAGTTTGAGCTTTTCTTATTATATCGATGTGGGGTTTTCTGGGTAATAATTTTCTTGTTTGCGTTTCGTGATTTCTAAAAAGGAATGTGGTGTTGTTTGACTTTTGTTGGTTGATTGACGTAAGATCTGATGAATTGATGAATTGTTGGGGTTCGAATGCGTTTTCTGGTGGAATTTGATGGTAATATATGTTCGATTTTGTTTATCGACTCAAGATATAAGGATTTGGAGTGGTTTTCGTGGATTTTATGATAATTTATGTTTAACTTTTGGAGGGAATTCACAATTGATCATAGTTTTAGTTTGACTTTTGCTTGTCAAGTGAAGAAAATGAGGGTTTTGAGATGTTTTCTTGACGATTTAACGCTACAAACCCTACTGTTCATGGTGGTTGCATCGGATTTAAACAGCTTAGTTATAGGACTTGGCTCAATGTCGTCCATTGCTATATCATACGGCGAATATGGTTCAGCCTTTTGTGGTTTAAAATCAGACGGTTCACACCTGGTGACATGTTACGGTTCGAACCTGGCTCTCACCGGTTCAATCCCTTTGCTCACACGGTTCGCAGGTTTAACAGCGGGCAACGGGTTTGTTTGTGGGCTTTTGACAAACACCAACCAACCTTTCTGTTGGGGGGTGAGTGATTTCATAGCCATGGGTGTTCCTAAACCCATGGATAAGTTCGCTGAGTTTGTTGAACTCAGCGCCGGAGACCATCATTTATGTGGTCTCCGGAAACCCTTAACAGGCAATCGAAGAAATATTTCGATTGTCGACTGTTGGGGTTATAACATGACAAAAAGTCATGTCTTTGATGGACCGGTTCAATCAATTTCAGCTGGGTCTGAGTTTAACTGTGGGTTGTTTTCAGAGAACCGGACCGCGTTTTGTTGGGGGGATGAGACAAGTAGTGGGGTAATTAGCCGTGTCCCGAGGAACGTTCGGTTTAAGAAGATATCAGCAGGTGGGTATCATGTTTGTGGGATAATCGAAGCGATTGAATCAAATGTTTCTTGTTGGGGGACAAGTTGGGAGACCCAACAGGAAATCGCAGTCGAATTGGCTGGACAGGGTCGGGGTCAAGTCAACTTTGACTTGACCCCACACCACCCAGACCCTATCCCGTCAATTCCAAAAGGGGAATTGGCGAGTCAAGGTCAAGTCAGTGTTGACTTGACCCCACCAGACGCAATGCTTACGGTGGTTGGAGGACGGTTTCACGCGTGTGGGATTATCAGTTATAACCGTACGGTGGTTTGTTGGGGTTTTCGGGTTGCGATGAGCACGGAACCCCCGAAGGGGGTTTCGGTCTACGAAATCGCGGCCGGGGATTACTTTTCTTGCGGTGTTGTGGCGGATAAATCGTTTTCTCCGGTGTGTTGGGGCGTGGGTTTTCCGGCGTATTTGCCGCTAGCGGTTTCTCCGGCGGTCTGTCGGATGAATTGTGAAAGCGGGTTTTACGAGTATAACAACAGTAGTTCACCGTGTCCGTCTCCCGGATCAAAAATCTGTTTACCTTGTAGCCATGAATGCCCTTCTGAAATGTATAAAAAATCCGAATGCACAAAAGATGGGGACAGAATTTGCGAGTATAACTGCTTGAATTGTACTTCAGTAGAGTGTTCTTCGAATTGTTCATATTCCGATAAGAAAACTGAAAGATTTTGGTCCCTACAGTTGCCGGTGATTGTTGGGGAGATTGTTTTTGGGGTTTTGTTAGTGATTGTTGTAACATTGACTGCTATCTTTTACGTTCGTTACAAGTTAAGAAACTGTAATTGCTCAATGAAAGGAGTTAAAATGGTAAAAAATGGGTTTCAGAAAGATGGAGGAAAGATTCAGCCGGATTTGGAAGAGTTGAAGATCAGACGAGCTCGGGTTTTTAGTTATGATGAACTGGAAAAAGCCACCGGTGGGTTTATGGAAGAATCACAGGTTGGAAAAGGGAGTTTCTCTTGTGTTTTCAAAGGAATTTTGAAAGATGGACTCGTTGTTGCTGTGAAACGAGCGATTTTATCACCTGATATGAAGAAGAATTCAATGGAGTTTCATAACGAACTTGATTTGTTATCCAGATTAAACCACGCCCATTTGCTTAATCTTCTTGGATACTGTGAAGAAGGTGAACAGAGGTTATTAGTTTACGAGTTCATGGCTAATGGATCATTGCATCAACACCTCCATGGAAACCCAAAGGTGTTGAAATCACAGTTGGATTGGGTGAAACGAGTTACGATTGCTGTTCAAGCTGCTCGTGGAATCGAGTATTTGCACGGATACGCATGTCCACCGGTGATTCACCGGGATATCAAATCATCAAACATCTTAATCGACGAAGAACATAACGCTCGAGTTGCAGATTTTGGACTTTCGTTGTTAGGTCCGGCGAACAGTAGTTCGCCATTGGCTGAGCTACCCGCCGGAACCCTTGGGTACCTAGACCCAGAATACTACCGACTTCATTATCTCACTACAAAATCAGACGTTTACAGCTTCGGCGTTTTGCTTCTTGAAATCCTCAGTGGCCGGAAAGCAATCGATATGCAATTTGAAGAAGGAAACATCGTCGAATGGGCAGTGCCCTTGATAAAATCCGGCGAGATCCACGCGATTCTCGACCCCGCCCTAACGCCGCCGTCGGATCCGGAAGCACTGAAAAGAATCGCGAATGTCGCGTGCAAATGCGTGCGAATGAGAGGGAAAGAACGCCCGTCGATGGATAAAGTGACAACTGCGTTAGAACGAGCTTTAGCGATGTTGATGGGAAGTCCGAGCAACGACCAACCGATTTTACCTACAGAAGTTGTTTTAGGAAGCAGTCGGATGCATAAGAAATCATCTCAACGATCGTCAAACCGATCGGAACTCGAAGGTGACGTGGCGGCGGAGACGGAGGATCAACGGATCGAGTTCAGAGCTCCATCGTGGATTACGTTTCCGAGTGTGGCGTCGTCTCAGCGGCGGAAGTCGTCGGTTTCAGAGGCGGACGTGGTGGATCCGAAGGTGGCGGAGAATAAACATTTGGGTTTGGGTGATGGGTTGAGGAGTTTGGAAGAAGAGATTGGGCCTGCTTCACCTCAAGAACATGTGTTCTTACAGCATAACTTTTGATTAGTCCGTTAATGGTGGAAATCTGTGAAATTTTTAAGATTTTGGTTCAATTTCGTTGTATTGAACAGATCATATTGTTCGAAGCTTTGATGATTGTATATTTGGTTTGCTGAATCTGACGAAATTCGATCTATTTGATTACAATTTTTTTTTTTGGAACGGCTATTTGATGGCATTATAGAACTCAGACATGTTTGGTTTATGTTCAAAAGAGTTTTCCCTCGTAAATTAGTTTTTTTATTTTATTTTTCAAAATCGATCAGATTTTTCAAAAAACAAAGCTTTTATAAATATCTGAAATTTAATTACTTGGAGGTATTATCATTGAAAATGTTGATCTAAATACGTTTTAACATTTTTCACATTAATTATGAATAATTTATATTCGATATTCATTCACTTGATTTTTCAAAATACTGGAGCACTCCAAAGATTTAAAACCGGGTCTTTAGTTAACCCGTTGTTACAAATGGGTTACGGGTCAACCGGTTTAATCAACGAGTCAATTGAATACAAGTGATTATTTTATAGTTGCAATATGTAATGATCTATTTGACTATTTTAGTATTTTCTAATGAACTTTCACTTCATATTAAAAATCTTTCAAATATAAGTGAATATTTTGGTTTTCTTCAACAGACAAAGAAATAAGTAAAAGTATTAGTAAAAAGGTAAAAAACTTTTGAGAGAATACCTTGGCTCCGCTTAATCTTTCAAATCTATTATTTACTAAATAAAATACTTACATTTGATATCGTTTTTATTTAGAGTAAATTACACGAATGGTCTTTATGGTTTGGGGTAATTTGGACGTTTGGTCCATAACTTAATTTTTTAACTCGGAAGGTCCCTATAGTTTGTTTTTGTTGCGCGCTTGGTACCTGTCTTACCTAAAAAGACTATTTTGCCCTTGATTTTTTAATTTATTTAAATAAGGTGAGATATGTAAGGTAAGGTGAGGTGAGATAGAAATGAGGTTGTGGGTGTGTTTATTTAAATAAATTAAAAAATCAAGGGCAAAATAGTCTTTTAGGTAAGACAGGGACCAAGCGCGCAATAAAAAAACAAACAACATGGACCTTCCGAGTTAAAAAAATAAATTAGAGACCAAACGTTCAAATTACCCCAAACCATAGGAACCATTCGTGTAATTTACTCTTTTATTTAACATGAAAATATTTATGTTTCAAGGGGCAAGATTAGTGGGTTCAATGTAGGGCATATAAAATATTGAATGAAAATAAAATAAAAAAACAATCAAATATTAAGTCAAAATCATGCGGTATTTTGTTTCACAATTTTTTTGAAAATAAAAGTTATGTATCTGTGTAATTTTGTTGAAAATAATAGAAGATAAACATTATATATAATATATAATGTCGGGAAATTATGTTTTTATTAAGTTTAAACTGGGTTTTTATAACGAATCGGATCAACATTTTAGCCAATTTTATGGTAAAACTTCTTGGTTCATAAATAGACAAAAACACACTCTTAATTGACCTAGTCTCCTCATTGGTTTATGATCCAACTGCCAGGTCAACCTGGTTTTAAAACAATGGAATACTAAAGATATTTTTTCAGTTTATGTCAAACAATAAAATCCAAAATATTGTTTCTAGAGAAACATAAAAAAAATACAAAATTATAGATTACATGTGGTTAAAAAAAATCATAACTTCAGTACAAGTTAGAATTTCCTTACATAGATGGTTTTCATGGTTTTATTTGTTGTGTGATTGGGTTTTACAACTAACTCCATTGTATAAAAAATTAAAAACCAATAACCCATTATTATGATATTTTCTTACTTTTTATTTTGTAATTTTTTATTTTATATTTATAATGATTAATGTCATTACGAGTCAACAAACTATCTGTTTTTTATAGTCTAAATCCATAAAACGATCAAATTTGCGTCAAGAAAACCATTTTTTAAAATGCAAAGATAATCCGGTTGTAATTATGACATGCAGTGACGGATCAAGAGTTTGGATAAGTTGGGGCACAAAAAATCAAACACAGCTTTTTTGTTTTGGATCGGGTCAAATGATATATTTTCCATTTCAATTTAATGAAAAAAGACTCATAAAGATGGTGATGTAGTTTACCCTGCAATTTAAATAATCATAAAAATGTTCTAACACATATTTTGTTTATATTATCACATAACTTAGATTAAAAGACTTTTAAAGATAAAAAATCTACAAAATTTCCTAGTCAAATCAATTCTAAAGAATCATAATATATTTTAGCCAAAATTCAAAATTCAATCAAATTTTATAAAATTACATAAACTACTTATATACATACTACTGTGATTGAATATTCTCACAAAACTAAGTGTAACCACTCTAAAAGTTCAATGGTTCACAAATTTAACAAAATTACATAAACAAATGGATTAAAAAAATAAGGTTAAAATTAAACTAACCTTGTAAAAGAGAGATTGCACTCAAACTTGATGCTGAAAACTTTAACTTCATTTGTGTTATAAATGAAAAGTTGAATAAATTAACTAATTAAATATTTATATAATAATAGCTTAATATAACAAATAAAATAATAATAAAATATTTGATTAAATCTAATGCAAAATAAAGAAATTAAATTCAAAAGTCCTATATTATGGATTGACATTTCGCAAGCCTTTATCAAATTGAAAGTTAAACATCCAATGTGGCTAGCACACAAAATTTGAAAAATGAATGCAAGAATCGATGGAGATGTTCTAAACTACTCCTTAAATCTATGTTTACGACAGGATTTGTACCCTCAATTTTAAGGAATGAGGGCAACACTCGATACCGTTGAACTAGATGTTCTAATGCAAACATTTTGTTATTTTTAATATTTAGGTCATCTTCGTTAGGTCCTATATAATAATAACTTTTCACGGCTCTAACTTCTAATAATATTTTGTTATTTTGAATATTCAGGCAATCTGTTTGGCGATCTGCAACTGCTTACGATTACGGGTGTTTGACGGAAATTGGTTAATATCGGTCAAATTTGGGCTAGACGGGAAAAAAAATTTAAAATTCAAATTTTCAAAATTTCAAATATTACACAAAAATTTATAAAATTTTAAAATTTTAAATATTTAAATATTATACCAAATATTTCAAAATTAAAAAATTTTAAATTTTCAAATACTAATTTTCTTAAGATATATTAAGTTTTAAAATAGTTTATTACTAATTTAGGGTCCCCGATTAATCTTTGATTGATCCCCATCAAACTGATAAATTGTTTGACCCCAGTCGACCGCCGAGCTACCGCCGAACGATTTTTACTACCTTGCTCACAGTAAAAGATCCTTCATTTCCAATATCACAACACCAACTATCTTTTTTTAGATAAATTGTAACAGCCCCAAATTCTATAATAAAATTTTCATTTAAAATAAGTTTAACCAATTAAAACCCTTTTACATAAATCAATAAGTGACATCCATTTGATTTGAAACCATAGAGTTATCCGATTTTAATTCACAAAACAACGAAAACCATAATCTTCAATGCGTGCGTACAGTCCCCGCCTAGCCCATCACACGAACAACCTGCAAAACACTAAGTTGCACGGAAACGGATATGACAACCAGAAACAGATACGGAACGGAAAATGGGAAACGACAAAACTCAAAAATTCAAGATATGGATACGGCAGAGATACGGAAGTATAAAAATATAAAAAAACATATATGTATATATATATATATTATATATATATATATATATATATATATATATATATATATATATAGATTAAAGAAATTCCAAAATAGGTATATATTGATGTAAAGTGTAAACTCAAAAAATACTAAATCTTTCAAAGGTAAATAATTATCAATAATCAAATCATTTTCAAAATCCGATTCATCTAATGAGAGATATGCAACCTCCAAAAACCCTACATCTTCCATTGAATCAAAAGCATCTCCACCTACATCCCACATCTTTACATCATCATTCAGATTCCTTGACAAAAGTCGGAGATTATTGTGGATGTAAACCAAGTCTTGAGCATGACTTGTAGTCAACTTGTTCCTCTTAAGCAAGTGAATAAATGCATAAGTACTCCAATTACGCTCAACACAAGAAGAAGAACTAGGTTGTCTAAGTAATCTAAACGCCAAAGTATGGAGAAAAGGAGTATGAGCACCAAAGTTAACCCACCAATTCTAGGGTTCCATAGTAGCCATCTTTGAAATGCTTGTTAAATCCTCAAAATGAACACTCTTCATTGAAAACATAGCACACTCATCAAGGGCGTTGCTATACTTATTGATACGACCTTGGCTCCGACCACCTACTCAAAGGATGTGCTCCTACGCCAGAGGGAACCTGCAAGGTCACAACAAACAAGGTCGTCAGCCGTTGTTCGCGAGGAGGTCTCGGGAAAATGCTTTGACGGTCAAGTTAGTGAGGGATATATGATGGAGATTGGTGAGAGTCGGGAGAGATAGCTTACCTCTCAAAGCATGGTATAGGTCCTTTTATACCGAGGATCCTCGTTGGTCCGCACGAGAGACAAGGACTGCAGTTATGACAGGATCTGTCGTCCTGATTGGTTAATCGTGTCCCTCGTTGTGTCGTGGCCAATGATTGGTTCAGGCGATAATGCTCTAAGCATACTCCTTGTCGCCTGGAACCGTTATGCTTGTCGTGTAATGGAAGGTGTCCTTGGCGGGGCTGGACCTTTCGTGCGGACGTCCCACCATGAGGGAGCGCCTGGGGGTGGGGGGGGGAGGCCTGTTGTTGTGGCCATGCTGTGCCTAGCCAAGCCAGCTGAAGGGTCCTCCAGCCCATGGGCTCTACTCTTGGGCCACGCTGGGAGGGGGTGCATTATTAAGTCCCCTAGTCCAGTAGCTATAGCGTTTGCTAGCTAGCAATGATGTTCTGGACTTAACTGCCTCTACACGCGTCGAAGCCTCGTTTTCTTGGCGCTTTGATTTCGACGATGTGACCACTCATCCTCTAGCGGTTACGTCATATGTG